GAGATCACAAACTACTAATCCACAGCCATCACTTCTTGGACAAGATACCAATGGTTCACCTTCAAGCTAAAATGGTAACCTTAAGTCTGATGAAAATAGTTTTTAAGTGATGCTCTAGAGGTCATGAGCTTGATTTATGTAACAGAAGTCATCTTGTATACGTCTATCTCTCTTCTTCCTTTCAACCTTTTACCATAGAGTTTGTTGTTTGACTACATTATTCCTTAATACAACATGAGCAGGTATATTTCATGTTAATGGATAGATGTTATTGGCTCTAACTGTCTGGGGTTTAGTTTTTATGTAGTTTCCGTGATTTAAAGAGAGTCTGATAATATTTATGTTACTGTCCTTGGCTAAATAAGGCTTTGCATAAATGTATAGTTGGCTTGGCTGTGAATCATTAACCCTGCCTTTCTGCTGATTTGTTGCTAAACTTACTGTATAATGTTCTGGAACATATCTAAAATTCTAAAACCAAATTGAGAGACCATTTTAATTTCAAAGGGCTTCCAGCAATTTTGTTAGCCTTTTGTTTTTCCTTTCATTATTTTCTGGCAAAAGAAGGTTGATATTGGGAATTGTTGCATAATTTCAAGCATGCATTTATTCATTCTTTGACTATAACTTTCAAAAGAAATGGGGTGATTTCAGATGTCTATATAATTGTTGAGATAGATAGTCCTACATTGGTTATATGTCCAACTAATGTGGAGTTTATAAGGTCTTAGGCATTTCCACTCTTTGAGCTAGCTTTTGGGGTAATGACCTCAAGGTTCTTTACATGGTATCAAAGCCTAACAAGAAGAATCCTAATTCGCGGTTTTTCGGTGGACCACTGTCCGCTGAGTAATATATTTTTTTTTACCTGGTATCAGAGCCTCGCCGCCCCCCGCTTTCTCTTGTGGCGTTTCTTAGCGCAGGTAGGCTGGGCCTGTTGCATTGTCCACTCTTCAAGCCCAACGGGCTCTTGTGTGAGGGAGCGTGTTGAGATAAATAGTCCCACATTGGTTGTATGTCCAACTAATGTGAAGTTTATAATGTCTTGAGCACTTCTATTATTTGAGCTAGCTTTTTTGAGATAGTGCCCTCAAGATTCTTTATAATAATATTTATGCTAAAGATTCTCTGAAGAAGTAATGATTTCAACGTAACGATCAAAGCATACATATGCGTGCCTGCTTTTAGCTACGCTTTTGCTTTTCCTAGTTGGAGAACAAAAATGTTAACAGTATGAGTTTCCTACATCTGTCATCCAACTCATCTCAAGTTAAGCCCTTTTCCTTAGAAACAAAAAGCACTGCTTTGAAAGCTATAGACAGACAGACATCTCGTTCTGCTTTTCAATAATGGCTTGAGTACGGTAAATGGGCTAGCCGGCTAGGTTCATTACAAATCTTGTAGCGTATCCAAGAAAATAAAATCAAAAACAAAAAGAAAAAACTATTTGTGCATGTAAGTTGCGTTTTTTTATTTTTTCACTTTATGTAATTTTGGTAGTATATAATCATAACATATGATTTTTTTTTTCTTTTCTTCTCAGTCACATCAGTTGACATAAAAAGTAAAAAAATAAATAACTTTTCATGTTATGACTATGTATTACTAGAAATATATAAAGTAAAAAACTAAAAGTATACAATTTATGTCCTTTAAAAGTATGTACACTGAACCATAAAAAAAATGGGATTGTCTTTTCTCATGTTGCATAAGAGGAGAGTTATCTCCTACACACACATAGAGAAAAGAGAGGAGAGAGAATAAGGAAGAAAAAAAAAATTTAAAATGGGTCCCACGTTTACTTTATGTCTTATGCATAAGATAACAATCTTATGTAACATAAGATTATTATTTCCCAAAAAAAATCTTGTAGCTAATAAACTGAACTGAATTCTGTAGTACTTAATATTATCTTTGGGTTGGTAGGCAAGTGATTTCATCTCACTTGCCCTCCATGTTGGACATATTGATTATCCTCAAACTAAATAGATATTCCACAAATCTAACTTCATTATAATGTCTACCTCACCGGTAGTTCTTTTTACTTTTCTTTCCTAATATAAAATTTGAATATCTTTAAAGTATCCTCTCTAATATCTTTAGTGGAAATCTTACACTCGTTGCACTGTCTCTGATATGCACTAGTATTATCATTAGCAAAGATACTTAAATCGTATTCTATCATATTCTAATGGCGCCATTACCCACTAGTTCAAGGAAGTTATATATAGACGCTGCTGTAACACATGTTGCCATCACTTTCTTATAATTTGGTTATGAAATAGTTCATTAAATTCATAACTTCTGGCATGTTTTAAACAATAGTTTTCCATACTTTTTTTAGGTACAATTGCGATAGTTCAAAAGGATAGGAGCACAACATACCTGCAAACTCCAACCAAACCAAAACCTTAGGAGAAACATAAAAATCACAGCCGACTTTGTAACCGAACATTATAATGACATGAGCATAACCAACAACCGTTGGTTTGTGACAACTAGTTTGTTCCTTTAATCAAAGGTCTTATTTTTTATTTTTTTATTTTTTGAAGATATTCTAATCGGTTCATTGCTTCGCGATTAATCCAATTTGAGACGGGTCACAGGATTAAGGTTTTAAACCTCATCTAAAGATGATATCGGAGAGGATCGAACACATACTCTCATCCCAAAACTACCATGATTTGGCAAAGGTCTTGAGTCAGTGATGGAAAGAAAATACTATCGGGACAACTGAAAAATAAAAAAACCAACTGTGAAAAATAAATAAATAAATAAAAAACTATAAAAAAAAGCCTCTTTCACATCTTTAACTCTCAGATTTAAGTAAAAAAAAAAAGACCGAAGAGGGTATCAGTAAAAAGTAATTTATGACAGTTTAGTTAGTGTAAGCTAGCTAAGTAAGGAAGAAATACAGTTCGATTCCTATCAATTTTATTTTTAGAAGGAATATAAAATTTTAATTCTTAACCTATCTCGCACTCAGGTTTAGTCTCAACGACCCAAAGATCCGAAATTTCTGGGGATATTTGGAAAATCATACTCGCCTCAAAAGATAATTAGAATTGGTATAAAAATAATTTATCCTATAACAAATAAAAAAGTTATAAATATTATTTTTAAGAATTGATATAAATATTTTTTTTCCCACTCTTCTTTTCACACGGCTCATCTATTTTTATGTGTTTATAAGATAGAATTATCTACTTACAATATACATTAACATTCATTCCTTATTTTTATATTATAAACTTATGTTGCACCGATGCCAATAAGGGATACGAGATACGACACTTCGACACGTTAATTTTAAAATATATTAAATTTTGACACGTTAGGACACGATTTGATATTATATAATATTTTTAATTTATGTAATGTATATTATATTTAATTTCAATAATTTAATAAAAAATAAAGTTAAACTTATAATACCTATCAATTTTGCAAAGAAACATAAGATATCCGAAATGTTTATATTAAACTCAATAAAATGGTAATCATAATCTAACGAATCTAATAATTGGAATTCAAAATGCAATGCAACATAACCTTTGAATCTTTTTTGAGTCTTTGCAAGGAGTATTTGAGTGTCGGGAAGTGTTGGAGTGTCAGACACGACATAAGGGTTTTTGAAGTGTCGGTTAAACTGTCGAACCAGTAATCACAAATCTGCCTTGTTGCAGATTTTCTTTTAAGGGAAATGCATTTGTTAGGCTTTTTTACCCTTATAACCTTTAATTAATAATTAATTACCAATTTGACCTTCATTTGAAACTAATTCGAAAATTTAACCCCTTCAGAAAACATAACACCAATCTGCCCCTGTTTGACCGTTGACCATGAAGCCTACCCGGGTACACCCCTCCCTACCCTGGTATTTTTTGAAATTTTTTATCTACCCGGGTAGAGAGGGGTGTACCCGGGTAGAGTTCTTGAATCTGGAAAAATGGTTGAATTAGTTACCCGGGTAAGAAGGGTTGTACCCGGGTAAACATCCAAAGTAGCGTTTTTATATAAATGAAAAAAACTGTGACAGGCATAGTTCATGGACGATAGCAACGAAGATCCAAGGCTTCCTCGTCATGGCAGCCCTAATGAATTTGTTTCCATCAACCAATTAGCAGATCATTACTCTATCTCTATCTATCTATGTATAGTTTTACTTAGTTGTGACGTTGCAGAAAAATGGTGAGTTTTGCAGAATTGGGACTCTTATACTGGAAGCTGAATCCAAATGATGTTGAGGAAGATTAGAGAAACTAGGGGATACAATTACATGGTAATGTTGTATTAATTTCAATTTTTTGCATTTTCATTAACCTGATAGAAATATAAATCCGAGGAGAATATGAATTGGAAAAAGAAACTTTTTAGCATCTCGGTTATATAAAAATGCTACTCTGGATGTTTACCCGGGTACAACCCTTCTTACCCGGGTAACTAATTCAACCATTTTTCCAGATTCAAGAACTCTACCCGGGTACACCCCTCTCTACCCGGGTAGATAAAAAATTTCAAAAAATACCAGGGTAGGGAGGGGTGTACCCGGGTAGGCTTCATGGTCAACGGTCAAACAGGGGCAGATTGGTGTTATGTTTTTGAAGGGGTTAAATTTTCGAATTAGTTTCAAATGAAGGTCAAATTGGTAATTAATTATTAATTAAAGGTTATAAGGGTAAAAAAGCCGCATTTGTTATGTTACATGTTACATGTTACATGATAAATAAATAGTTGTTATGTTAAAAAGAGACAAGTTAAATTCATTGAATAATGTGTCCTCTCACTCTTTTAATATTATATAATTTGTCTTTTTTTTAACATAACTATTTATTTGTCATGTAACATGACAAATGTATTTTTTTTTTAATTAAAAACGATTTAAATTCGTAAAAAAAAATTATGTGAGACACGCGATATATGATCACGTATCATGATATCAACATTTAAAATAATAATAATAATAATAATAATATGAGTGTTAGTATGAGTGAGGTTTTTGTGAGGAGCATCGAATCATTGCGTTGGCGCGAGGATGAGGGAAAATATAGTGTTGTTTGGAGATTCGTTAACGGAGCAATCGTTTCGAGAGAATGGATGGGGTGCTGCACTCGCCGATGCCTATTCTCGCAAGGTAAGCTTAGATTATATTAGATCCATTTTAATCTGTTCTGTTATGAAGTTATTTCATATTATTAATAAATTGAATGTTCATGTTCATGTTCATGTTCATGTTCATGTTCATGTTCATGTTCAGGCTGATGTACTCGTTCGTGGTTATGGTGGATACAACACTAGGTGGGCTTTGTTCCTACTGCATCAACTCTTCCCTCTGGTATCCTTTCCTTTCCTTTTCTGTTTCTTCCACTTTTTTATTTCTGCTTTCATTTCAACCATCATAAATAACTTATCTCATTAAATGTTTCGGAATTTTCATGCTTTGAAACTCAATTGAGGCAAGCTCAAATTGTGGTATGTGGATCAAAGGACTAAGAATTTAATTTATTTATTTTTTTAAAAATAGTGTTTCCTTTAATGTGCACAAACCTTATTAACAAAGTCCTTAAATCTACAAGTTAGACGAGGTTTTGTATTACTTGAAAAGACCAAAATGTTTCAATGGTTGTTCTACTTTTCATCTTGAATTTGAAAGTAATGGTGTTACTGAAAGATTGAGTGGTCAAATATAGTTCGCAATTTTGTTTATGTCAAATAGGTGTCTGCATAAAATTGAAGGATATAAGGTCAAAATTGCTTTCGACAATAACTTACATATGCATTTAGTTGAAATTTTGGAATCTGTAACTTACGAATTTGTTTTTGCATTTTGTGAGGGCCAAACTAGATGATAGAGGAAACCAAATGTAATTAGACTAAGATTTTCATACACTTAATTAACAGTTTTGATATCCTCTGCTGCCCCCGCCCCCCAATCCTTCCTTACCTAGATATAGGGTCTTTGTTTATTTTTTGCAAATTGCTCTATCAATCTTGAGTTCCAAGTGTTTAGCTGTGCGGATTGCTTCATTTTCAGGATTCAACTAAACCGCCTATTGCTACCACAATTTTCTTTGGTGCTAATGATGCAGCTTTGTCGGGAAGAAGCAGTGAAAGACAATATGTACCAATTGAAGAGTACAAAGAAAACCTCAGAAAAATTGTTCTACACTTGAAGGTTAAATTTCTTTCATTTAATGTCTTAACATTTAAATTTGACCAGTTTCTTAATTACCTTTCCAAACATTTTAACTCTAATTTTTATTTGCATTATCTGCTAGATTGTGTCCCTTGGTTGGGTTCGTCCATGATACTGGATGACATTTTTTAATTGGGGTACAGCCTTTGGTCCACATTTGATTTTTTCTTATCTACCCATCCCATTTATTAATTTATATTTCCCAGCTGATGGCTGGTTGAACCACCTATCCAAGGAAAATATTTTGGATAATTGCTGGGCCTGCTGGCTCAAATTCACTACAATAGCCTGAAAAATATTAAGAATATCAGGATTGGTTCAAAGCTCAGTTTTGGATAGGTAAAGTATTTTTATTTCATATATTGTAATGTTACAGACACTATCTTCTTTTGTTTGATTTAGTCTTGATCATGTGAAATGTTCTGTGAATAAAATTTGATTACTTTAAGCAACTTTATCTATTATTCTCTAATCTTAGTCGAATGATTTATGATTCCCATGATTTTCTATTGTGTTACTTGTGCTTTCAAAGGCACATGATTTCTTCTAGCTTTGTTGTTTTGCTTCTGGGTTAACCACTGCATTGGGTTAAGGAGAAACCTATTGTTTTGTTGCTTGTTTTAATATTTCCTGTTGGTCAAAACTCTGGGCATAGCATGAATTAAAACCCTTATACCATTGAGTGCCAGTTATATTATATGTTATCGGTCATTAGTGATAATTTGGTTTCAGGAATGCTCACCAACTATGCAAATTGTGCTTATTACTCCACCTCCAGTTTGTGAGGAAGGGCGTCAAGCATATGCACAGTATGATAAATTCCTCCCTCTTGTTAGATTCAGTATTTATAATCTGCATTCCTTTGTGGACATCTTCTTACTGCACCATTATGTATTTGTCTATTTATGACATTTTACTGATATCATCAAATGAAACAGTTCTTTGCTGTCTCTTTTATATATGTGTTTTTTATTTTAATGCAATAATTGCTACATTCACCACAACCATTGTAATTTCTATTATTAGCACCAGTGCTGCATCCATCTTTTCCAAACCACCATTTGACTATTTATCCTCCAATCATACACATCTAAAGTCCATGACATCACTATTGTACTCTCTTGCTATACCACTCACCCTCTCAGTGTGCAATTGTTACTATCAATATCTAATCAAAATTTTTTTTGCTGCAGTTAAACCTCCATTGATGTGTGGTTATTCCCAGCCTGATTAATGCTTCAATATTCAAACCTTGTGCCATATTACTGTATCACATTACTGCCTTTGTGTTCTCTGATTATTTTTCTGGTTTTGGATTTGTCAGTCCATGAAATTTTAATGTTCTTGCACAGCTAGAGAGTGCTAACATACATTAACTTCTAATTATTCAACAGTTGTTGATTTTCATGTTTGAGAAGTTCTCGTTGGGTCTTGCAGATCCTTATATGGTGAGAATGCTAGAAAATTGCCGGAAAGAACAAATGAAGTAACTGGTCAATATGCAAACGCATGTGTTGAGGTAGCTAAGGAAATGGGTGTTCGGTATATCAATCTGTGGTCCAAGATGCAAGAAACAGATGGCTGGCGAAAGAAATTTTTATGGTTTGTTACAACCTGGACTTGAGAAATATTGACTGTGACACCAGTTTGACAGTTTTTTCTTGTTAAAGGCATCATGATTAGCTTTGACAAGTCTAGTTATGATGTGATCCTGTTCTCTTGTTAAGTACATCATGGATTAGCATTTTATTAGTCCAATTAGTGACAAAATAAACTGCTTTCTTCTATCTATTTATGAAAATTGAAAGTTATAGAAGAGAGAGGACAGGTTTGGGATTTATTGTGTCTGGCTTCATTTCATGGCTATTTAATTTATGCATTGGTTATCTGCAATAAAATCAACACTGTTGAGAAATATAGTCCCACATTGGTTGTATGGATAACTAATGTGAGGTTTATAAGGCCTTGGGCACTCCCACCTTTTGAGCTAGCTTTTGGGGTGGTGACTTCAAGGTTCTTAACATGGTATCAGAGCGCTCGAAATCTCACCGCCTCCTACTTTTTTTGTAGTGGAATTTCCACATGTAGGTGGGGCTTGTATGTTGTCCACCCTTCAAGCCCAGTGGGCTCTCGTGTGAGGGGGCGTGTTGAGAAATATAGTCCCACATTGGTTGTATGGATAACTAATGTGAGGTTTATAAAGCCTTGGGCACTCCCACCCTTTGAGCTTTTTTGGGTGGTGAGTTCAAGGTTCTTAACAAACACCACTGCCTTTTTTTAAAAAAATTATGAGAGATTCCACCTATTAATGATCATGTAACATTGATGTTTTAACTGTTACAGGGATGGGTTGCACCTGACACCAGAAGGAAATGCAGTGGTCTACCAAGAAGTGATAAAGGTGTTCAATGAAGCAGGGCTTTCTGCTGATAAAATGCGATATGATTGCCCTCATCACTCAAAAATTGATGACAAAAATCCTGAAAGCGCTTTCCAGCAGAATGTTTGTGATGCCTCATTGTGACAGGGCTTTGGTCTAGTCTTGCAATGGTATACTCTGTTCTATTTGATGACCTATGATTTTCTTCCTGAACTATATACAAGTTTCTCGGTGCTTGTACCATCAAGAAGCATATGTTCATTTACCTGTTAATTTGGTATTTCCATATGTACATTGATGCCCTGAACTTTTGGCTAACAAATTACAATCACGTCTAATCACTAGTTTCTTCTATAGAGTATTGCAACTCTTTTAAAGTAAGTTTGTGTTTAAATTGAGCAATTAAGAGTGTATATACCATTAGCTTTTAGTGATTTAAGACTACGCTGCACTTTAAATTAAATTAATGATTGTTATACATTTACTTATTCACTTTGGAAATACAGGGGCGTCAGAAGAAGGTTTAGGGTCAATTTACCTAATTCCACACTACTATTTAAATAAATATTATGCTTATCTACTAATAGAGTCAGTTATGTTAATCAGTATTTAATAGTTTAACGCATACCTTCAATGGAACTTTTAGTTTATGAAATATAGATTAATTTTGATATTGTAATTAACTATTATATAAATTTTGTTTAAATTATTCATGAGTGCAGGATGTGGGTAAGAATAGGCTTTAATTTTATTAGATTTAATTTTTTATTTTTATTTATTTTTGTGAAACGAGTGTGAATTTTAATTCTTAAGGATGTAGGATAGGATTGATTTGAACAAATACCCACCTTTTACTTGCCCTTTTACCAGGCCTTATTGCTCGGGCATCAGTAGTTAGACTTGAGGATATATTATGTTCGTTTAAGTAAAGAATAAGACGAGCGAGATAAAAAAAAAAATGAACTTTAATCGTTGATGATTGATAGAAGAAAGAAATCGTAGGTATTAAAATTCGTGTAAATTTGAATACAATGGCAGCATTAAGGTTTGAATCTATAATATTATGCAGATTATTCAAATTCCTCGCCACTAGACCAATCCTAGTAGTTTAGAACTTGAATTAGAACTATTATTCATTGTTGACGTGTTATTGTTGCGAGCAAGCCAGGTTTTTTATACAGAGAATCAGCTATGGTCTCTTATGAATTACTATAGAGGTATAAAATTGAAATGAAAATAAAATAAAATTTGGAGGGTAATTCACAATCAAACCAAAGACGATACGATAGATATAACATTATATACGCACGCATTCTTGAATTATAGTCCTTAAGTTAATTTAATTTCGTATTGATCATAGGTTTTCATACATTGGTAATTTTAATATGGTTTTATTTTGAAAATAGACCAGCATACAAATCAAAACCGTAAACAATATTTTTTATGGTACTCACTATTCACCTTTCTCCTCAATATGGCAATTGACTGTCATTGTTCAACAGCATACATATTTTATTTTGTTCAGTAGAGATTTTTTTTTTTGGTATAATCTGGAAGGTATCTCCATTCAATCTCTTCTGATCACTTTGTCCTCGGAGTATGGCCGGCTACCCCTCATTGGAACAGCGGGTGCATTGAGCTTCACTATTGGAAAAAAGATGAGACTAATCCCCCTTCGATGACCCCCAAAATTTTTCCAAGAATTTGTTTGAGATTTGCGTATCATTGGAAGCTCAGCTGCAAACTGAGCTACCCTTGAAGGTTTGTTCATTAGACATTTGCGTGTACCTTATTTAAGCATTAACGTATTATTAATATACTAATAAATATAATATTTGTGTAATAAAAATTAATAATGTGTCAACATTTCATTGTTTTATTATCCTAAACTAATTAAGGGAATCTTAATTGCGTCCTTCAGACATGTTTCCTTATGCGGTTACACAAGTCATTTAAAATGAATCTATTGGTTAGGTTTTGTGTTACTAAGATTTTTTTTTGGAAATATTCCATCGGTTCATCGCTTCGCGATTAGTCCGATTCGGGGCGGGTCCAGGATTAAGACTTTAAACCCCTCTCAAAGGTGGTACTGAGGAGATTCGAACACATGCCCTCACCCCCACCTGCTCAGCTCTCATGCGCCAACTGAGCTACCACCATTTGATGTGTTGCTAAGATTTTAGTTTTTACGTTTAGCGTACAATACATATTTACTTGCATTAAGGTTGTAATAAAGTTTAATAACAAATACAATAAGTTTCTTAGTAAATATTAATTAAGGGAATCTTAATTGCGTCCTTTAGACATGTTTCACGCGGTTACACAAGTCATTTACTCTCGAAGACCAACATTCTTATAATTTACATTAGTAACTGACATGACACTTTATCCATTTGACTTAGTAAGTTACTTTACAATTTCACCATTTTACTGCTTCCCCCAACTTGCAAGAAGTTACGAAAAATGAAAACAAACAATCTCATTTCAGGGTGGTAATTTATAAATTTGTATTCAAGTTGATCCACTTTTAAATTTATGTAGTGTTTGTATTGACAAAAACTTGCATGATAAATTTTGTGTCATGTTATGTGTCAAGAGCGAATACCAAATTGATCTATATTAATCTTCTCACAAGTTATTTATCTAACATAATATTGGTGAAAACAACATTTAATATCCAAATTATTCGTGTGCAACAATCAATATATAGGTTATTCGTATTGTGTCAACCCGCATAACAAGCAATGCATTTTAAGATTGATTGTGTCATATAAACTTGCATAATTGTGTCGTGTAAACTCGCATAATACATGATGCACTTCGTGTCAACTCACAAAATAAACATATCATATTAGTATGAAATGTTTTTACCTGTTTTTAAATTTCTCATATTCATACTAAAGGTATTGGTGTTCATATTAAATTTATCTGTGTGTCAAATTTGAGTGCTTGTGTTGGTTGGTTGATAAGAAACATACATCATACATGTACCATGTCTTCTGAAACACTTAAAAACCCAAAAGTGCAAATATGTCACATTGTTGCATTTTCTAAGACTGTGTATATAAATATAATTTTAGAGAATCTATGGGATATAAAAAACTGACAAAAATGACATCTTTATTTAATGTTGTTTATGCTTATTGAAAACTTGAAATGTATTATCTTAACTCAAAACAAACAAGGACTGAGATTTATTACTATCTTTATTTATCATAAAATATAATATTACTAATATCATGTATTTCAATTTATTGTTTAATACTATTTCTTTCTTCTTCTTCTTCTTCTTTCATTTCTTTGTCCCTCCTTTTTCTGGATTGTATCAAATCTCTCCATTTCTCTTCCTTTATTGTGCTTGCAGGCATAATAGTAACAGAATGATAACTTGGTCCAACTTCCATCTCTGTATCATCTTTGTAAAAGTACTCCAAGAATAGGCACTTGAAATAAATAACTAAATATTTTAATGTCTCCCAAGGATTTACACATCAATATTATTATGAACCTGAGACATCATCTCCACCAAATCCAACTCCTTCTTAACTTCAATTCCCACCATAGGTGCCATCAGCTCATGAGGCATTGCTGTCTCAAAGTAATCCTCATCAAGAGTAACAACAGGACCACATTGCATGCCTCCATGATCAGATTGTTTTCTCTCCATAGTAGGAGCACATTGCATTTTTCCATCAAAATCCTTTTCATTCATAATAGGAGCACTGTGCATATCATCAAGCAGAGAATCAATACTGCAACCCTCTTCAAACAAATTATCATCCAAACAAAAATCTGGGACCTCATTGTTGAAGTCATAATTTGGCACCAAGCGATCACTGGGACAAAATTGATCAGTAGTATGATGGGACTGGGTTGCTGTTGGTGCTGCCTTGCTAGTGCTAGTGCTAGTGTTGTTTACCTTGGCATTAGCATTAGCATAAGCATTAGAAGCAGATCTTTTTCTATAGTCTATTGGTGGGTTTTGGTCCAAGTTCAAGCTCTTGATATATTCCTGCAGAAGAGAGCCTCTAGGGTACTTTGAGCGACATTTTCTTTTGGAATATTGCCTTCTCTTGGTTGCATTCCAATGGTTTTTGATTGAGTTTTCAGTTCTTCCTGGCAATCTTTTTGCAATCTCTGCCCACTTATTTCCTATATCTGCATGTGCTTGGATTAGTATCTTGTCCTCTTCATCAGTCCATATATCCTTCTGTGAAAAGGCACAAAAGTTGAATAGATTAATTGTAAGAGTATATATAAAAGTACCATATCAGGTGAAAGCATTGTATTATGTTATGAGAGATAACAAATTTCAACTATTGAATCACACATTTATCAGTGATGTGCTTTTATACATAGATTCAGCAGTGAGAAGTGTATATCTATATTAATTTATATTATATATGATAAATAAATTTTGGAACCTTAATGTCAGGCCTTAAATGGTTATGCCATCGTTCTCTGCACTGTTTCCCTATTCTTCCAGGCAAAGCTTGAGCGATATGAGACCACTTCCTCACTCCATATTGTTCGACCATTTGAATCAGCAACCTGTTTGTGGAAGCAATCAAAGCACATAGATGTGTTTTTTTAACCGAGTTAAGCAAAACAGTGAGCAAAAAAGTATGATGTAAAAAGATTAAATAGCCATGGAAAACAAAAGAAAAAATAAATTAATTGAAACTATATATTCCATAAAATTATGAACCTATCTTCCTCCACTGTCCATTGCCCCTTCACTATGTTGGACTTCTTCCGAACTTTGAATGTTCTTCTAGTGGTTGGAAATTCCCTATTATTTTTGTTCAAGCCAACCCTCTTGTAATAATTTGCTGTGGATATGCATGAGACTTCATCTGGTACAATAAAACTCAAAGACTTGGTTTCTGGAGGATTAATGGGCAAATAGCTTTGGTTTGCAACCATCATATCAAGTTGATTCCTCCTAGGCAGGTTCAAACCATAACCTTCGTATTGGAAATTATCCATAACATGAGCATGCACACTACCATTCTCAGCAAAAGGCTTGCACTCATAAACTTCCAATTCTGGTTGTACACCTGCAGAGGTTACATTACCAAAAGGATCAAAATTTGGAGTTTGAACCCCAAAAACTTGATTGGATGAGGAGCCATTCAAATGAAACTGATCAATATGGTGAAAATCTTGCAAGAAACCCTGTGATGAAGGAGCCCCAAAAGGAAGCGCATCTTTCATGTTGGGTTTCAAGTAGCTTTCTTGCAAATGCATTGGCTGTGAGACATAGTTTTCTCTGAGGTTTGTCTCATGATCCATGAGACTAGGAGTAACAGAAACTGAAGGAAACATCTGTGTTTCAAGCCATCTCCATTTGTGTCCCTTAATAGGAGAGAATGAAAATGCATTAATTATAGTGCAATTGATATGAAGTATCCAATGGCCAGGATTGGTTCATATCTTACACACCCTATTAAGATTTTCTTTTGATTGCTACGTTGCTAACTGTCATTAAGATTAATAGTTACAGTTTCAAGTATAATATTGCCGTTATGTTATTTGCATGGTTAACCATTATTATGATCAAACCTTCTTCTGGGGGTAGATTTTATGCAACAGTGGAGTCCAAGAAGGACAAAGAGGAAGAACAGTGACCATTTTGTCACGTTTGGATAAAAAAATTACCAGAATGCCACGCCAACAATAAATTTTGACAAAATGCCACGCGGCATAATTCGTTACACAGTGTAGCAAAATATGCCACGTCAGAACCAAAAATGTCACATGTCAAATTTTGAGAAATTCGCTACCCTATGTAGCAAATTTCTCAAAATTTGACATGTGTCATTTTTGGTTATGTGCATTCTGATGTGGCATATTTCACTACACTGTGTAGCGAATTACTTGCATGCATAATTCGCTACACTGTGTAACGAATTATGCCGCGTGGCATTTTGGCAAAATTTACTGTTAGCGTGGCAGTCTGATAATTTTTTTATCCAAGCGTGACACTTTGGTCACTATCTCGGACAAATACCCCACGAGAATACATTGATTTTTGGCTAATAATTTGTACATTAAGTTCTTTATTTTTATTTCCTTTTGTAGGGTATGTAATTGGTTTCACTAGTCCTGGGGCAAAGTTTCAAACTGTTGGTTTGATACAAAGAAGCCCAAAAAAATGCAAGCTTTTAATATTTATGATAAAAAAAAAGGTTTGACCATGTTTGAGAGTACTTATTACTAATGTAACATATTATTTACTTCTGTCAGTTGTAACCTACACATAGGAGGAAAGGTTAACTAAACCCAATTTGATGGCTGGTAAATAGGGGAGCACTTTCACTCCTCTGTTGGCTTGGCAAACTACTGTTCAATTTGTGCTTTCTACAATTCTACTATTACCTTCTTCGATTTTTATTTTTTTTAAGTAGCGTCAATAAGATTTTGACTAGAAGTTATTTTGAAAAAAAAAAAAGGTTAATCTAAATACGCAATGAGCATTTTGTTTGTTAATCTTGTAAACTTGGTGGAGGGGGGATAAATCCGTTACTTGAAATAGAGTTAGTTAATGAAATTCGTGTATAAAATTTACTTCATGAAATTTCAGGTTACATTTTTAATTAAGGTTGACTAGGTTGATTAACAATTGACTCCCTCCTCCCTTTGTCCATTTGCATTCAATATTTATTAAAATTCAAATTCACAACTTCACCTTAAAATTCAAATCTACAAAACTAGGATTTGCCTGATATTATCACTATGTTATAATTGTTATTTTGATTTAAGACTTTTATACTTCTGCTATCGCTAGGAAGAAAGTTAGAATACACACACAGATCCTAATTTATTTATTTTAAAAAAAAATGGTGGGGCCAAATTTTTCTGTGTCTGCTGCACCAGAAAAAGTTGTGCAGCTAGCCCAAAAGTTAGGGACCCTTGATTTAATGGCACAATTTCTAAAAATGTGTTTGGAAATTATAATTTAAATTTATATCTCAAATAAATTAGGTACAATTCTGTGTGTAATAAATAATTAGAAAATCTAAAGTCTAGCAATATAAAATTGACGTTTACAGAGCATTACTCAGCCATTACATTTCTGTTTATTCTATTTATTTGTGTAAAACGCGCATGCTACCCCAACTTAGACTCGTGTAATTTTTGTTCAGTTAAAAGGCAACAACCATGTACTAAAAAAAAAAAAAAAAGGCAACAAGAATGCGAGGGAAACTTGACTTTACAAACATCCTAACTTTAAATATTGGCAATTCCATTTTTTTATGCTCTCACTCGTCTTTGATAATTTCATTGTTAGTAGCAAGTTTTTTTATATATCTTTGGAGTGTTAGTTATATGCAAATTGTACTACTATACCAGAAAATACATGCCATGTGATGCAGCTGCATCCGATTAAACAGAAAAATAAAATAAAATAAAGATGATTCCAACTAGGATGCAAAATCATGAATAATTTATGCACAGGGTTGTGAAAAGAATATTGGGAAAGCGATATTACTGATAAATTATCAACTTGGAAGCTATTCCAAACAGTAAAATTAGCTCAGCATTTACTAAATCGAAAGGGCTAATAACATATATTTGCTTATAAACAAATTGATATTCTACATTTAAAAAACAAAAAACTGGATGGGATATTTAATCAAAGATTAAAAGATGATAAATTTTTCATAGAGCAGAACCATTAGGCCCCACAGGCTTATATCAACTAAAAAAGGGTATAGTAAGGGGGTCAATCCTATCTGACCTATAAAGAAATTCAGAATTGTAACTAGAGTGTGTGTTATGCACCTAGCAAAATTTTACTACTGAAAATTAAGCTGTCTTTGGCTTCATTCGCCTCACCCTTGAATAGAGGAAAACCCCAGCAAGAGCTATAGCAGTCCCTGCAGAGGAAAAGCGCATAAAACCTTAGCAAGAGATATATGTAAGGATGCGATTTAAAAAAAAAAAAACTTCAAAACAAAAAATCTTCAAATGATTCCAATTGGAGCCAGAACGAAGCAATTTTACCTAATGCGTTGATTGGTGAGACAGGTGTTTGGAAGAAGATGACAGAGCTCACAACGACCACGACCCGCTTGACACTATTTCCCACAGAGTGAGTTACAGGTGATACCCTCTGCAGTATCATATAAGAAACCTGCACACCCCATTCACAGAATATTATTCCCACATCATTAAGGAATACAAAACCTATCATAAAAAAAAAAAAACCATGCAGAAAAATATAATGACTTTCACTTAGGCGAATATAATATTTTTTTTGTTTACCGTAAGTAACAGTTGCTTATGTTTAAATCTAATGTTCACGAGATAACAGTAACTAACAATTATGCATAGAAGAGGAAAACTCACTTGCTGATATGCATGGAAACAGAGTGCAGCAAGAAGAGATCTTATGTAAACTTGTCTAACATCTAATCCCTGTCAAGAAAGATGATGTGATGACATGTTAGTAGCCTCAATACTATGTTGTACTTTGATTATGAGAAATCTAACAGAAATCCTCTATCAATTTCAACAATCAAGATACCCACAGCGGATTGCAGGTAAGCAGGGGTAAATTTGGCACCCTCCATGAAAATAGTTACAGGTGCTGACAACAAGAAGGACATAACTGTTATTATTGAGAAGAGGGTTATGTTGTCCATAGATTCCTGAGAAGAACAACATGCTTGTTATTTTCAGCTTGTTTATGAATGTCATAAAATGCTACTCTTACTCTGTACACACAAAAATTATTATCAATAATAAAATGAATGCAAAACTTTGGTACGTGTTTATACCTCCTCCTTAACCATGACCTTCTTGCTAAGAACATTACGATATTGGTTTGCCAAATTGGAAGCCATTGCACTCCAAAATCCAGCCCTATTGAGTATTCCAGATACATTAGAATTCAAATGACCACATATTTTCTTTTCAAATCATTCTATTCTCTTCCCGTGCAAGGAATAAGAGATGCAGAAGATCTTACCAATTGAAAGAGGCCTCCGTAACAGACGCCAGCGCCACCCCACCAACAATAGGCAAAAGGGTAGCAACCACCCATGCAGTAGGCATCTACAATAAAGTTAATAAAAATTGGAACAATGTATTAAATGTTGAAGCAACTAAGGAAATGCATGCCATACATAACTAGCCAGAGAGAACTTAGTGAGAAATATAACCATGAAACAGTGTTAAACTGATCATCAAAATTATCAAAAAGAAACAACAGCGACAACTTAGACCAAAGACAAATAATGTCTAGTCAATGTTATTAAACCCTAACTGTTCATTGACTCCATCGGTATATCGGGTTAATGAATTATTGATTTAACCAATAGTTACTAGTTGAATTATTTAAATTGAATTTATCTGAAAATATATAATAAATATATAAATAAAAATAATATGACAATCAAAGTAATTTGGAATATTGATTAGCATATCACTCCCCTTCCTTTAGGTGTCAAGTTCAAATCGCAAGATTGCAATTATAGGGTTGAATGCTAAATTGTTAATTGACTGAACCGGAGTGATTACGGGTCTGGTCGGTTTTAATAACATTGCTCAGATTGCAGCAATATATGGTGTTGTTACTTCTTACCTCTCCAAGGAACATAGCAGAGAGGATCACTGAAAAGAAAGGCTCCATTGCTTTTATTGTATGAGTGAAAGACACAGAGACCATTCCAAGACTCATATTAGTGAAAAGGTTCCCCAGAGTATGTACCAAAGCCAGTGGCAATATTGCTGCAAGCTGCAAACCAATAAATCAAACAATAAAAAAAACAGAGCAAATAAATAAAACAGTAACATAACATTAAATAATTAAACAAAGATGAAAATACCTGAGCACCAGTGACTTTTGGTCTCTTATAGAGATTAAATCCCCACATAAACAATATAAGGACAGTTCCCACTGCAAACTGAATTGCAGTGACAGTTAGTGGGAAATGGTACACCTTCAAAACCTGTGAACAGAAAGAAGAAGAACATCATAACATCACAGGTTAATTAAAAGAAAGAAGAAAAATGAGGTTTAAAGGGAATGGTTAGATTAATGACCTGTTTGTTATAGATGTTGAAGTAGATGTTGAAGATTAACCAGAAGCCAAACAAGGCTCCAAGTTCCAGAGTATTGAACAAACTGTTACTGCCGGAGGAATCATCTCTGCTCTCCGGCACGGAGGTTGCTTTGGCCTGAAAGAGCGTGAGTTTGGAAGAGGAAGAAGAGGCAAGAGAGAACGGTTGGCGCGGGAAGGAAGAAGAAGAGACATTGACGTTGGGTTTGGAAGTGGAAGAAGAGAGAGTAATAGAGTGGAAGCGCGTGCGAGGTTTGTTGAGAGAAAGAGAAAAAGAAGGGGAGAGAGTGAAAACCACGCTCTGCATTTTTGAGATCGGAAGCCTTCAGTTTTCAGACTCCGAAGGTGGCAGCAATGGAGGAAAGACACTTATAAAGCAGCGTTACAAACCTAAAAAAAAAAATAAAAAATAAAAAGAAAAAAAGAACCTGACTTCTGGATTCTAAAATGTCGGATATTCTATTATAGTGAGGGACATTTATGCTGCCCTGTCATAGGTATTCTTTAAAAGGAGCTTTGTCTTCTACCACAAACGGGTCAAATTTTATTTCTTAATTTTTATTTAAATTAAAAATATGAACAACATGCAGGAATAATTGATATGCAGGAGGACAGGAAGTTAACAGTGACTTTCGAGATCTTGTTTTGTATGGCTACTTTGTTTGCGAAAGCTGAGGTGGGCCAGATTTAATTTCTACCAATAGGCGGCTGCTTTAATTGGATATGCATATATCATGTGTATTCAACCATCCGTTCAAGGATTTTGATGGTATCATGTGAAAATTCACATTAGGTGAGAAATCATAACCATACAAAGATAAATCAATGGTAAAAAAAGATGAGAAAAAAAAATGATAAAATAGGTAGTTACGAAATCATAATCGTTGATTTACCTTTGTATGGTTGTGATTTTACCACATGATCATATCATGTTTTTTTAGCACACGAGAGGATCCATTTTCTCCCTTCAATGAAAATATTTTGGGTACATTAATGTACCAATCATTTAATATATCATTTATCAAATTTGGAAAAAAAATTATATATTTATATTATTTTTACTTTTATGATTATTTAATTTTATATTTTTATATATATTTTTTTGATAAGGGAATAGCTACTCCCGTTATACCAAAAATTTACTCTCATTCAATCCATTTATATTTAATATAATTTCAATTACCAGATTATACTAATATTATTTTGACTAAAGGTACATAGCCTTACCTAAATTGAGTTTTGAATCATAAATTATTGTTAATTAATAAGAAAAAAAATACTGTAACAATCAAGTAGTGTTACTACCAATGTTACTATGAATTAATTTCACTGTTAGATCGATTATGTTGATCCAACGGTTGTATTTATTTCTATCTTTGTATGATTATGATTTTTCATATTTAAAGAGAAAGCATTAAATATGAGAAATCACAACCATATAAAGGTGAAAATAAATATAAAGTATTAAATATGAAGAATCATAACCATATAAAGATGGAAATAAATATAATCGTTGAATCAACATAATCGATCTAACAGTGAAATTGATTGGTAATAATATTGATAGTAATACTACTTGATATCCTAATTAATAAACTATCAATTATTTATAATAGAATTATCAATAAAAATAAATTAACATGTTACTTTAGATGTAATATTTTAATAAAATACATCCTCTCGTATAATATAAAGATATATAAAAAAAATTAATTGTCCAGATACAAATCAAAGGTGATAAGATTTTAAACTTTTTTTATTTTAATGTATTTTATCACTATTGATTGTGTCCGGATAGCTAACATTTACCCTTACATAGACTCATATAACACAAGAGAAATCACTCCTTATTTTATTTGTATCATATCATAACAACTCCATTGTATATTTAATAAATTAGACGGATTAGATTAATTTTAGTAAGAAGATAATTAACGGATCAAGCAAAATATATAAATATTTAAGCTTACCAAATATATATATATATATATATTTATAGAATCTAGAGAGTGAAATGTATGTTGATGCACAAGTAGTCTAGATACATCTAGCTACAAAAGAGCATAATAAAATACACGTGGAAAAAGGAGCAAAAATACATTTATTTTAGTAGAATGAAATGCATTTAAAAATAAAAGAGAGAGTACACTGGATAGTGCCATTCCCTATAAACACAGCTCGACAATCTCGCCCACCCACCGGAGAGTGCACCTTTCTCCGGCCCATCTAGTCATCTCTTGGCTTCATCTTCATCCTTACCATCACTAGCTAATCATATGATATATAGTGCTCAAGATAGTAGTTTTCAATTATAGTGGTGAATATCTTATACAAAGGTTGCCCTTATTGGCGCGAGCAGGGGTGGAAAGGTATAGTCCATATATAATATTATATATACAATGGTCATTCCCCCTTTTTGTCCTCATTTCTTCTCATGTTTATTTTCATGGCTCATCATTCCTAAAGTGGAGTGGAGCTCAAAGTTTAATGGAGAAACCTAAGTCTCCTGAACCAGTTGATGATGAGGTTGAGATTCTGTAATCTGTTTTTTTGTAACAAATTGCATTATGTTTGTGGCATTTAATTAAGTATTTCCTGGGCACATTTGAACTGTTGGAAATAATCAAGTGACACTAATGATGAAGTTTCGCACCGATTAGAAGTATTTCAAGTGAGTACCATATAAATGCAAAAAAGACTCATACAACTTAAGCTTTAAAATTTTGAGTTGAGATGTGGTGTCGATATATTTATTGTAATTTGTCGCTTGGTTCATTGATGCATATATCTAAGAATCTTGTGTTACATGGAAGAAGCAAGCTCGTGGATGTGAAGTTTTTTTTTTTAAGAGATCTTTGTAATGATGGAGCTATTGATCGAATCTACTAGATGAATGAAGATTAGATTGCTTATATATACACTAAAGCTCTCAAGATGAAGTCATTTGTGAAGGTAAGAAGATTATTAGGTGTCTATACACTTTAAACAAATATAGGGAGGAAATGTTGAAATGTCTCTTTAATTTCTTGTGTCAGTTAGAATGTTGAAGAGTAAGTTGTCTTTTGATTTTCTTGTATTAGTTATGAAGTTAAATAATTATTATGCTTAATGGAGGGTGTTTATGAGTTGTTGATGATGTGGTGTAATGAGACTTTTGATTAGCATTGTAATAAGTCTTTTTATTGGTATTTTCAGTTTGTGTAATGAGACTCTTAATTAGCATTGTATTTCCTTTTAATAGGTTTGGTGTATTGGAGAAATATGAAGTGTAACAGAGGTTATCAGATATATATATATATGAAGTGTATTGGAGATTGTATTGTATTGTATTGCCTTTTAATAGGTTTGGTGTATTGGAGAAATATGAAGTGTAGCAGAGGTTATCGGAGATATATATATATATATATATATATATATATATATATATATATATATGGGGCAGGATATTCTTACACCGATGTAAGAGTTACAAGTCTTACACTCAATCTTGACCATTGATCCACTTGTATCTAATGGCTCACATTACTAAAAAATTTGAGCCCTTAGATATAAGTGGGATCATCGGACAAGATTGAGAGTGTAACTTACACTGGTGTAAAATGATCCTCACCCTATATATATATATATATATATATATGGATGGATCTTTTGACTCTAGAGTTCCTCATCTCACTACAAGAAAATGTGTATCTTGCGGCGGTCCAATTACCATTATGACGCGGTTCGAACCGTCGCTAAAATAGTAGTACGACGGTTAACCAACCGTCGCCAAATTAATCGTCGGGAAGGAATCAACGACGGTCGAAATCAACTACTGGAACGACCATCGAGATCAATATAACGACGCTTACGACGGCGGTGTGGCCGCCACATAATGATCATCGAATTTACTATGTATCACCTTTGGAGGCGGTTCTAAATCGCCCCTGTATAAGTAACGTCGTTTTGGAGTCGATTGGAAACCGCCTCTGAATTTTCTTTTTGAGGCGGTTTGTGACAGCCTCTAAATAAGTGATAAGGTATTTCGCGTTTGTTTGAAACCGCCTCTGAATTTTATTTTGGAGGCGGTTTGTTACAACCTATAAATAAGTGATAAGGCATTTCTCGTCTGTTTGTAACCGCCTCTGAATTTTCTTTTGAGGCGGTTTGTCACATCCTCTAAATAAGTAACGTGATTTGTTATTTCCTTTTGGAGGCGTTTATAACCACATCTAAATAATAATTTAAAAATTAATTTTAAATTTTTGATGATTTTATTAAAAAATTTATAAAATAAATTTGTATGATTGTATTCGATAATTTAAAAAAAAAATTAATCAATTTTTGTGTTTGAAATATTTCAAAAATCCTATTTTTATAAATTTGAATAATAGTGATTTGTTATTATTTTATAAATTTTTTTATTTTATAAATTTATTCAAATATAGAATATTATTGCTATACATAATTTATTGAAATATATCTTTGGACGATTTTTTTACTAGCAATGAAACTATGATGACATGTCATCCAAATTTAATTAAAATTATTAACAAAAAAGGATCATTCATAAAAATGTCATTGAATAAAAAAATAATTGGTAAACCATTTATCATAATATTCAAAAACATCAAACTTGATGTTTTGTACTATCATCTAAACAAAAAGTATAAATTTCAAAAGAGTGTAATAAAATATCATCCCAAAGTATTATAATCTAAACCAAGAGTAAATATCACACAAAAGTCCAACAAAATGTATTCTCATAGCGCTATAATCTAAACACAAAATAAAGATCCCAAAATCCCAAAGTACTGTAATCTAATTAACAGAAATTAAAGATCACAAAAAATATCCAATAAAATGTCATTCCAATGTTTTCAAAATATGTAGAATTTAAATTTCATCCATGAAAAAGTCATCAAGAGGAGTTGTTAATCCTTCATTTTGACCTTGCAGTGTGGATGATATGTTAATTAAGTCATCTTTAACCAACTTCCTAACGCTTTGGCCTGCAAATGGATCCAATAAAAGAATTAACAACTGATATTACAAACATATAAATAGTGTATGTTGTTTTGTCAATAATACAAATGTTGTATTATGGAACCCACAATTTGATACGCTCGTAATGAAACAACAATTACTGATATTAATTTCTCTAATTATTTTCATTTATTTAAGATTGATTTCCATAATTTTCTAAGTTACGCTAATTTCTGATATGAACAAATCTTTTTTTAAGAGACAATACAAATAAAAAGGGATTACCTTCCTTCTCGTAAAATGATAAAAAACCAATTTTAACTTAAAATACTAATTTCATCTCAACTATGTA